AATTTGTTTGCACTGTACGGCAGATCAAAAATCTGCTTGCTCTCAGCCAGTCACAATCAAGTTATCTTTCTCAGTGTTGTAATAAATCGGAAACACTCGATTGTGTTTCACTAGTTATGGTATTCTGTAATCACCTTAGTGTTTAGAAACGACTTTCGGTCCAGGCTTACGGCGTTTGGTAGAGTGACCATCTGCACCACGCACGTTCCCTGAAATGTATTAGTGAAAACAAAAGATCATTTAGGAATCACCACAGCACTGATATACTGCGGCCTCACTGAGGTACGATCAATTTGTAACAACAGACAAAGAATTGCGAAATAAAGGACTTCCGCCGTTACCACCGATACTATCTTTTTGTAAATTGCATTTTATGGTCAAGTGAAGGCTAGACACCTTGCGAGGCAAAGATAAAGAAACCATCTAGAAGACTACTTTAATTTCGGACCAGACAAACGATTGCGCTGTTCTCAGTAACTACTGGTTTCAAAGCTCTGAAAATCGTTACTCACTTGGAAATTCTATCTCCGGGAACGTCTGTGGATGACGATTAATGAATACTAGTATTTCGTATTTGTTGCCCATCTCATCTATTTCCAGATCTAGCTTTTTGCCCATCGAAAGCCCTTCATGCATCACGGCTTTCGCCTGGTCTACATTTCCCATTTTGTCATGTAAGGTGGCTAGTGCAGTCTTTGTCTTGACTTTCCATGTGTGACAAGGTTCTAATTCTTTCTCGGCAATCTCGTCTGCCTCTGTAAGTAAAGCCATGGCCTCATCTAAGTTACCCTTCCTCATGTGGCACATTCCAAAGTTCTTTAGAGTCGAGATACTCTCTTTGCTTTGTCTAAATTCAAGGTCCTCAAATATTTCAATAGCCTGTGCATAATAAGTAAGGGATTTGTCCAACTCGGTCTCGCTCTTCTGACGAAAAAAGTTACCGGCGTGAAGGTCCGCAATGGCCTTGAGAATTTCAGCAGTCATAAAGTGCTTCCCAAGGCACTTTTTAAAGAGTTCCCACGCCGCAAAAAACTTCTGTTCTGCTTCATCCCATTTTTTACGACGTTGTGCAATTATTCCTGCTAATAAAAGAGTTGCTGCTGTTTCCGGGTGATCGCCTAGGTTTTCACGGCTGACTTTCAACGCAGCTTCAGTTTCTTGATCTCTTCTTTTGTTCTCAAGGGGGTCTTTCTTGCCCGAAAAAAAGCGAGCACAACTGTTGCGGAAATAAGTTTCTGATAATGGATGTGTTTCAAAGTCAACACGATTCTTTGTATGAATTTCTTCGGCCTCCCTCATGAACTCTTGGTAATTTTCCCTGTCTCCTTTTTTCCTGCTTTCGTGTCCAAGAATACACAAAAGTTCCACTCTGTGCACTGGCTCAGATTCTGAGTGAAACATTTCCAACAATCTTTCCAGAACAAAAATGTAAAATCTCGGAAGAACACACTTTTCTAGATACATGCACTTCTGGGGAAGATCATCAAGGAAAGTTTTACAGGATTTCACAATTTCTTGGTCTTCGATATTCCTTCGCATGTGAGTGTAAACTTGAAGGAAGTACTCGAAGTTGTGCCTGTCCTCATTGAAGGAGTCCACAGACTGTTTGCAGGTGTCCTTGCTCCAGTAGAGATAAGCGTTGTCAGCAAGGCGAGAAATGAAGTGCGCACAGGCCAGTTTCTCTCCCAGATCTAAGAGGCCAGGATACTTGTCCGAGGCGATCTTCTGCACAAATGTTTGAATGAGCTGATGTACCTGGTATCTGCATGGTCTCAACTGCTCGACAAGAGATCTGTCTTTCAATTCCTGTAGAACTGAGACTGATTTGGCATTTGTTGTACAGTTTGCAATCAAAGACTTGGCCGCATCAGAATTGAATGAGCCAGGAAAGACACATAACAGAACGAGGGCTTTTTGTTCCACTTCGTGAAGTATCTCAAAAGATCTCTTGATTGATTTTTCGACTGAAGTTTGGTCGGTGGACCTTCTACCGACTTGGAGGACATCCGAGGGCTCATCTTCCAGACTTTGTATGAGTTCATCTTCATTATAGTCTGAGAGCAACGAGCCAGCAATACAAAGGGCAATAGGGACAAAACCACAAAGCTCGACCAATTTTTCCACCTTGGAAAGTTTCGCCCGACTTTCCAAATCAGCGACTCGCGAAAGAAGAATCTGCTTCGCTTCTTCTACTGGCAAACAGGCTAATCGAACATTCTTAGATTGTGAACTGGTTGTGCTGCATGCCATTCTGGAGGTAATAATAAACGTGACATTTTGTCCTGAAAGCCTTCTCATATTTTCCAAAAGGTTTAAAAACTCGTTTATACAATCACTGTCTTCAAGAACTTCATCTGCATTGTCAAGAACGAAAGTGACCCTCGAGCACTTTTGTTTGCTCCAGTTTAGAAGCCAATGTTGGGGATTCTCTGGTGGTTGCGTCTGGTTCTCACTGCAAGCAAGTGTCATTAACGTAGCTGCTTCACTCAGGCTTTTCGTAGACCTTAAGGAACAGAACAGTACTGCTCGTTCGCAGTCAAGCCTGGACAATTCATGAGCGGCCTTGTTAGCCACTGTGGTCTTCCCAAATCCCGGTCCGCCGGTAATCCAGACAACTGAGACTGATCCACTTTGTATGGCTTCTGTAACTTGTTGTGTCTCGTGTAAACGGCCAAACATAAGTTCTCCGGGAATTTCGTCTGGGAGGCAGCTTGGAACTTTGATGGACTTATCAAACTGTTCCCACTGATCGACTTGTTCCTCCACTCGACGTTGTATGTCATGATCTATAGGATCGCTCTTCAGGCGCTCAATCTTCTGTCGGTAAGCGTATAGCTCAAGTGCCTCTAAGCAAGAAGATACTTGCTTCCATTTCTCTTCAAATTCATCATTGGGAACGCCGGTAGAGGTACCGTGACATAGCTCATTACGGAAGCATTTGATTCTGGCAATGTTGGCCTCTACGCTGTCATCATCTTCGGTGGGCATTTTGTGCCATCCAGTTAAAGGTGCCGTCAAATGACAAATTTCTCGAATCAACAAATGCAAAAGCGATATATCAAAAGTATCTGAGTCTGGTGGGTCTCCTGATGAAGGAAATAACTTTTCCCACTGGCTATCAAATATTACACGGCTCAGCTTCAGACTATGAAGTTTTGGACGGTTTTTGCTTAAAACGATCTGTAATTTATCGCGAGGATAAATGGAATGAAGGAACTCTTTTAGAACATGCGTTCCTCCATCAACCAGAAGTCGTGTCAGTCTTGTGCCATTTGTCTTTTCTTCGGATACATCATAAACCGCCATGTTTCGTTGCTTGCTAAATTCTTAGAAATGATCTGCTGTCGAAGCACCTTTTCCCAGAAATGTCGTTTCCAAAATGATATGCAAGCTAAAGTTCGGATTAAGCCATGTCTACCTTGCTGCAGCCTGGACCACTAATTCATGATCAATCACGAAGTATATCGAGTCAGACCTTTGAACGAAGATTCTACTATCTTTCATGGGTATGTTCGTATAAAGGTCAAACCAGATCGTCAAAAAAGTATTTATAGAAATCGCTTGATGATGAAGCACTTCTGGTTTCCGAGAAAGACAAATTAGCATATGTTACTTAAGCAGAGTCAAATTAGCATATGCCTGTCTTATTTCAGACAGTGGTCAATGCTTCTCCCAAACTTGCTCGTGACGGTCAAGCACCTGAAACGATCGTCACAAGCATTACCTTCTCGCACGTCAAATTATACAATACGTGTGACGACATCTGTTTATATTGTTACCATTGTGTGGTCGGCTCTGCCGTCACAGATTTTTAATTGGACTTCCTGTATGGGATCATGGCTATAGGATTACCGTGATTTTCTTTGTACATGTGTATGTTTGTGTACTTGTTTAAAAAAAAA